TGTAGCGTTTTCCAGTTTACGTAGCCCAACTGAACTTTGCCAAAATTTTTCAAAGATTAGAGTCAAGGGCTACTACCGATTGCGCTTGAAGAGACGTGGGGAGCGGAGACGAGAGAGGGTCAAGAAATCACGCATGAAGATAATGTGGAAACGGTGCGGTATTGGTGCAAAAGACTGCGCAGAACTCATTTTTCAGACCACAAACTTAAAATGCTTATAACTTTTTAATTAGGGGTATTGTGCAGAAAATGACTTAGCGCACCTTGTTCCGTTTTCGATTTTCTATCAACTGGCAAATTTTCAGAAAGATTTGACACCTGACCCAAACAACCTTCCCTTGTTAGATCTAATTTTTCAAATATAGCTAGTGGAAGTGTTTCTAAACGGTTTTTTACGTGCCTGAACGTCAAAACTGAAAAAATTTCATTCAAGAACATTAAATATCGATTTTTTTTAACCGAAATTTGACTTTTTCAAACGCTTTTTAAAATTGTAAATACCGGAATTGCACGTCCTGCTTCCACTTCCAGAAGATGTCCTTCAAGTACTGCTCGAGCTCAGGGAACGGCGTTTTACCGTAGGCCGGTTGCGTGCCTAAACATTGTCTAGTAACAAAACGAACACCATACCCTGGCCCCGAAATTGCAATTGTCGCTGCGCATAGGGGGCGCGCCTAAAAACCAATTACTAATTGAATTTTATAAAACTGACCGAGGCTTGGACAGACAAATCTCGACGACATCGATCACCTTCGATTCATCGACTGGCTCAGCTGGCACGCATAGTGAATCAAGGAAAAGCCGCTCTCCCGAGGGGGATTCGTCTCCTAAAGCGAGACAGACAGGTAAGTACAGCGAAATTAAGCGTACCGTAAAAAGTACAGTACGTAGCGCGCTTCAACACGGCGTCTTTCCCGACTTTCGAGGAGCCGAGCAGGCGGAAGAGGCGATTTTTGGAGTAGACGGCCGGGTCGAAGAGCACCTGGAAAATGGGTTGAACAACTTGGCCTGACGAATGAAGAAGAAGAGAAGATTGTGGAGAAGAAGACTGTCTTTAGGACGCGATGTAGTGATACACAAAATTTAAAGCTCAACAATAAAAATTGTTGCACCTGATTTAAAAAAATCCTATTTAAAGCAATAACTGAATTTTTAAAGGTTGGTCAACTATTAAAAAATAAATCAAAGCTAATAAAAAATATAATGAAAATGGAATAATTAAGGCAATCAATTAACCAAATTAAAATTAAAAATTATAATTTGACAAAAATTAAGCTTTGTGGAAAACACAGCTCGTCCATTTGCGTAAAATCTTGATAAACCGGCCATACGCCAACAAGAAACACAGAATTTACAAACCATGGCTTTACGCAATCTAGACGTTTCGTAAAAACAGATTGGTTCGATTCAGTAAAGACTCGATGAATTCTCAATGCTATAAATTGGAACGTAGAATTCTCAGACAATTTATATATCCTTACCACTTGATTCCCGGTCCGATTCAGAATCTTCTGCGGTGCCCTGTCCATCAGCGCCTTGGCCAGCCGGTCGGTGAAAAAGCGAATTGAGCTGCCGCCCGGGAAAAGATGATCGCCTGAAAAACTTTGATCCTCCTTGAAATCCAAGGCTACCTGGCAGATGGACAATCACATGGCACGAGTATTTGCTGTCAGTCGTCGAGTCCAGTGCGAGGAAGTTCTAGAAATAAGGATTAATGTATTATTATTTTAAAAAGCTCATACCTTTCGAGTCAATTTCATGTCAAAGATTTCGTGGATCAGTCGGATGGTGGTGTTGATAAAATGCATGTAGACGGTCGAAGCGTCGAGGCCTAAATAGGGGATATTTTGCGGAGTAAATATAAATTTTTGTCCGATTTTGCGGTGATATTTCACACTTTCATCCATATTTTTTTTAAGTCATTTTTTTCCACAGTTTTTCTGAAAGTCAATTTCGGAAAACCAGGATTTCGACAGCGAAATTTTGGGGCCAGCTACCCAGAGGCAAGAATGGAGATTTTAAAAAAGGCTTCAAAAAATTGTGTTAGAAAGTTAAAAATTAACAAAATAACCTCAATATGATTAAGAAACAAATTAAGAAAGCTAAAACGTTATCCTATGACTCCAAAAAATCCGCTTCTTTTCAAAATCTGACCCGGATTCGCCGGCTTGTCGTACTCCAAGTCAAAATACAGTCGGCACGGCATCCCGTCTTCGATCAGCTCGAAAAAGTGGCGCTTTCCCGTTAGCTGGGCCTCATAGTTGCGCCAAAATCGGGCGACCGCCGTGGCGATGTAGCGGTGCGCTGAAAAAGCTTTTTTTTTGAAGCCGAGGAAATTAGAAAACCAGCATATTTAATTCTTTTATCCATTCCCCCAATGGGGCTTTTTTAATTCTTTTATCCATGCGTGCGAACGGCACACATCTTTTTATTTTCAAAAAAAAATATGTTTTTTTATTTCCACCTTACCATTATTGGGCAATTGCTCCGTAAAAACGCGAGCATCGGGCAGTGTCTTTGCCAATTCGTTCTTCCGCTCCAAGGCCGGTTGCTGTTTCGAGAAGTATTCATAAACGGCGCAGTAGGAGGAGCGTCGTCTTTTTGGAGTCTGAATAAAGATTTGAAAAAAGCGCTCTGGCGTTACCCTTTTAGCTGTTGAAGCGTCTTCGGAAGGCGGAGCGTTCTTGATAGTTTCTGCGGCTTCTTTTCGAAATGCAGCAGATGAAGTTGAAGGTTTTGGATCGAAATCGTTGGCGTCTTCAGCAATTTTTGGTGGTACCGGTTTGACGTTTTCCTTGATCACAATAATCAATGCATAGAAAACGACATTTTGTACCTTTTCTTCGGCCTTTACAGCCAAGGGCTGTGGGCTTGGATAGCAGACGCTATCATCAAATGAATCGTAGGAATCGCGCCGTGGGGGTCGGCGTCCTGGTGTTGGTCCGATTTTCTAAAAATCGGACGTTATATTACAATTCCCAATTTTATACAATTTCCTGAACTCCGATTCCGGATGACGGTGTGGCTTCCGGGCAATATACGCTATCGTCAAAAGAATCGAAAGAATCGCGGCGGCGTAGCGAACGACGAGCAGGTGTTGGCTCGATTTTCTGAAAATCTAGATTTCATGAAAAAATCGGAGCTTTTTATACCGTTTCTGCGCCTAGTTCTGTAGTTGGCCTCGAGTTGCAGAAGCTGTCATCAAAAGAATCGTAGGAATCACGGCGTCTAGATTGGACGACTGACGTCGAAATCTTCTGGAATTAGATTTTCTTCTAAAAAAGAATGCTGCTACCGTTTCTACTTCATTTGCTGTAGCGGACGTAGAAGGCTTTAGATCGCAGGGGCTGTCATCAAAAGAATCGTACCAAACACGTTTGCTGGATCGGCCCGTTGGCGTCGAATCGAGCTTTGCAAGCTTAGCACAAATACATTGTTTTAAAGAGACATTATACCGTTTCTAATCCTTCTTTTGCAGTCGATGTAGAGGGTTTGATTTCGCAGATGCTGTCATCGAAAGAATCGTACGATTCGCGGCGCTTCCGATGACTTACAGACATTCGGCCAATTTTCTAAACGTTTCAGTTCAGAGCTTGAAATCGAAGCTGTCATACAATTTCTACGACGCCTTTTCTTGTCGTTGTAGGTGCTTTTTCATCGCGTAAGCTGTCATCGAAAGAATCGTACGAATCGCGGCGCTTCAAATGACTTACAGGCGTTCGGTCAATTTTCTAAAATTTCAATTTAGAACTTGAAAATTGAAGCTGTCATACAATTTCTACTCCGTTTCTTGTCGATGTAGATGGTTTTTCACTGCGTATGCTGTCGTCGAACGAATCGTACGAATCTCGGCGTATAGGAGGTGGGCGTGCGGTTGGCTCGATTTTCTGAAAGTTCAAATAAGAAAACTTCCAATAACTTACCTGAGTTTCTGGTATCACTGCCTCACTTATCGGCGGCGTCGGCTTCAAGGCACAGATGCTGTCGTCGAAAGAATCGTATGAATCTCGGCGTGGCGGACGATGGGTTGGTGTTCGCTCAATTTTCTGAAAATAGATGCGAATAAACATTTTTCAAAGAATTCACTCACCTTGTCTTCGATTGTTCTGGCAAAAGGTATATCCGGTTTTGAACTGGCGATGCTGTCATCGAAAGAATCGTAGGGATGGTTGCTGTGACACGGCTGGAAAAAAAACAAATTCTTGAGATCAAAATGCCAATCTAGTACCTTCTTTGCGATGATGGGACTGACGAAACTGTCGTCGAACGAATCGTAAAAGGCCGGCGCTGGGTTTCGCAGTGGTAGTTGACTTTCCTGAAATAAAATAACTTGCGCGGGGATCGTAAGTTACCATCGAGCGCAGTCGCGAAGCAATTGGCCGACTTCCCGGGCTATCATCATAGAGATCGAAGGAATTGCGGTGTTTTGCCACCTAAACGAAAGGGTTTGACGAGATTTTACACATTTAAAAACCTGAATCGAGCGTCTGCGATCCGGCACTTCGCTCAAAGCGCTAGCATCCAGCGACGATTCGAAGAGATCCAGGCTGCTCTTGCGCTTCTTGCATTTCGGCGATTTTGGGAGCTGAGTCTAAGCCTTAAAACATTAGAATTTACAAAAATTACCTCGAAATCGTTGGAAAATCGCGGGGAACTGCGCCTCGGCCGCTTCATGCATGCCCTGAAACAAACGAAACATTCTTAGCTTTGAAAACAAAAAAAAATGAAAGTATGAGGCTCAAAAGTGATTCATTATATACAATTTTGCCTTTTGTTCGTTTTTAAAATGCCAGTTTGTATTTAAAAAACGGAAGTTTATTGTAAAACGGTGAGGTAAGGGAACGCAGCAAAGAGAGCGGAAAAGGCGGCGCTTTCAAACTTTCCTGTCGTGTCGTCAAAGTGAAAGGGGCCGTAAAGGGTTCGAAGGTGAGAAAATGAAGTCGATATAAAGAAAGAATAGAAACAAGAAAAAAAGAAATATCAATAAGAGCAGCGTTATTACAAGCATGCCTTTTGTGAGATCCCAATTTTCTAAGTTGGCAAATTTAACGTTTTTTAATTCCTTATATGCCTAAAAAAGTAATAACAAGTATTTGAATAGTATTTGTAACAAAATTGACGTATAGCAACGCGAAAACTGCTTAGAAAATTTCGAAACATCCTAGAAATTTGAAATTTTGGCCGGAAAAATCGATGTTTTTGAATTTTTTTTGCAACAAAAATTTGCAGTTTATTTGCAGTTTTGCGTCTACCAAGAATCTGATACAACTTTGAGGTCTTTAGATCACAATAATCGTTTTAGCTTTTTTTTACGGCAATGTGGTACTTGTTCTCGTTTCCTGCGACCATTGCAACAAGAAGGCCACACGTGCCATGCCCCTGAATTGGTGATAAGAAGCGCTTCTCGATCACCAAATTCCGGGAATGAACTTAGCCACCCTGCGCCTTTCTCGGGCCAATCTATCCTGTTTTGTGGTTTTAGTTTTGATTTTTATATTGCTGTTGGTATTTTTGGAAAGGCCTGGTGGGATTTTGCCAAACTTAACTCATAATGGAGGTTAGATTTTGTCGATGAGGACGATGAACGCGTGGCTGGATATTATCAAAAATCTATAGAAGCGCGGGTCGACGCTTTTCGGTGAGATAACCGTTAGCTCTTCGAATTCTATCATCACGTTTTAGAGTTCTTTTAGGAATTTCGTTAATTTAGTTTTGCTAAATCCAGCAGAATTGATCCATACATATAAAATTCGGAAAAATACTGTTAAACTCTAGCAAAACCTACGGGAGCTGGGTGTGACACCGCGCCAGCTGCAGGATTTCTATTGCGCGCCCCAGTGACCGTATCCCCCACCCAGCTGCCCCAGGGCCCTCTCGCCTTTTCGACCAACTTTTCGCCACGTAACCAAAAGGAAAGAATGTAGAAGTAAGAAAGAATGCAACAAAGTGAAAAGTTAATAGTTTTGATTAAAATAAGAAAGTCATACACTAATTAAGACGTAGAACAGCAGCTAAAGTAATATTATAATGCTGATCAAGCAGACACTTCTTTGTATTTTATTCTAGCAAGCAATCGTCCCAACGGTAGATAATCACCCAGTATTTTCAACTTAGCAAGCTAGAACCATTTTTCCGTTTCCCAAACACTTTAAGTCTAAGCTGTGCCCCTACTTTCCAAAGCGTTATTCATGATCTTCTTCCAGACACCGTTATGAAATCACCGATAGGAAGAACTAGTGTCTATCGGCACGTTGCAGCGATAGCAAATTATAACCATCGCCGTGCGAATGTTGTGATCGTCATCTTTTTGGAAGCTGCAGGTCGTCTTCATCCCGGAAGGCATACCGGAGAAATTTGGTGCTTTCCACCTGCTACATGATCCGAAGAGAACCGTATCCGAATTCGCAGTGACGGCTGGAGCGTTTAAAGTTAAAAGTTATAAGTGAAGCGGCACATGCGCAACCATTGCCAGAATGCCGATGTCTAGACGAAGGCTTTTGATCACGACAAGAAGCGTAGATCTAACCTATCCTGGAGCGAGGCTGATCTTTAGTATAAGCTTAACTTATGTTTAGGGCCTACATTATGGTTTAGCTACTGCCTTAAAACGTTTCGAGCCGTTGCGTAAGTCTGGCGCAAAACTAGGACCCATAATCAAAGCTTTCCCCCAAACTTCTATATATCCGAGACACCTCAACATATATTACAAACCTGTTATATTATATAATGCATGCATATATTGCTCAATGCGTGAAAAGGTAAAAGAATCTACAACAAAAAGACCGTTACTAGAGATTTGTCTGTCAGAAATAAAGTCATCCATCCAAAGAACCTCATGAATAAAAGCCTAGGGCGGCACCCTAGCATTATTTCCGACAAAAAGCATTTTTTGGTAAAAACTATTAACTTTTCACTTTGTTGCATTCTTCTTTACTTCTACATTCTTTCCTTTCGGTTACGTAGCGAAAAGTTGGTCGAAAAAGCGAGAGGGCCCTGGGGCAGCTGGGTGGGGGATACGGTCACTGGGGCGCGCAATAGAAATCCTGCAGCTGGCGCGGTGTCACACCCAGCTCCCGTGCAAAACCTCAAAAGTAATTAAAATTTGCTAGCTCATACAAAAGTGTTTCCTTTACTCAATAGCTGAAAATTTTTCCGATTAAGATTAGTATTTTTTGAAACTTATGATTTTTACGGGACGTTAGACTAAAGATATTTTTAGGGTCAGGCAAGGGATTTACGTCGCGTGTCGCGGCGCGGAAAATCCATAAAAATCTAACCTTGCCGGTTCCGTTAAAAAAAGCTTTTAGCTCACTCTACGAGCAAAAGGTCTCAGCCGACGAGGAATTCCCGGTGCTCTACAACATTTTGGTGCCAGAGGTGTGGTTTATCGCTTTGTGGTTTGTACTTTTAGCATGAAATCCCCAACATTTTTCTTTTAGTTATGCTAAAAACTGGTCCTTTTGACTATTCTTTTTCGATTTTTTAGTTAAAAATCAGTTATAAATGCTGTTTTGATGGATTTTTCATTCTAAGTGAATCATATTAAATAACACAAAAATAAAAATATATTTGATACCTACATTTTTTTAAGGTATTCTGCCCCTCAGCCGTTCGGGTGGGCCAGATTTTGGATGGCGGGAAATGGACTTGCCGCCCGTGGGCCATGCCCAAAAATTGCGCAGTCTATTCGCTTGGTAATTTGGTTTTGTTTTTTAATAAAACGTAAAATTTATACAATTGAAGCTATAAAAATCGATAAGATATAAAAGTATACTTACAAGCTTAAGGTATCGACAACGACACAACATTTGAGCGGGATTTTCAAAAAATTTCCGGGCAACGATGCCGCATTTATGCGTACGATATGGTACGTTCAGGGACGTAGCGTAATACCGGCCCCAGGGCCCGGCCCCGAAATCTGCCGGGGCCCGAAAATTTCATAAGGGGGGACCCTTATGATTTTTATTTTCTCAAAAATTTTGCTGCCTGCGGCGCTATTTTTTCAAGTTTTTACTGCTATTTGTAGAGCTATATAGCCGTTTTTCCAAAATTTTTCGCCTGCGGCGCTGTTTTCTCGTTAATTTCTGAGTTTTACGAAAAAAAATTTTCGGGGCCCCCCCCCCCCGAAATTTTTTTCTGGCTACGCCCCTGGGTACGTTTGTGCTTTTTTACCCTTATTCTAATTGCGAATCCGGTTCCAAGATAATGTTTGAATTAACTAAGATTATGGAAAAAATTTAACACTTTCAATCAGTAGCCGCTTTCACGTCGTTTACATCCAGTTTTGAGCGATAAAACAAATGTTTCAAGTAAAGAAAACTATCGCGAAGCTAAATTAATTTCAGTATCTCGCCATGTGTATCGAAAAAACTTCAGCCTTTTTTCAGAAGCGTCCAATGTTCCCGGAAGTTCTGGAGGGCCTGGAAAAGCTCGATATCCACTTTCGAGAGGCGAAAATCGGGCTCCGGGATTCGAAGGTTGAGGTGAAGTTAAACCAAAATTAAGGAGTATGGTAATTTAGAAATATCGCAATAAAGAAGTTCGATTTTAAAATTAAGAAGAGGACTAGCGCTCAAGGATAGTGTCAAAAACCGCAAAAAGGCGTAGCAAGAACGTTTTGGCACATTCTGGTTCTGGTGCATTAGCGCGGGGGGCGGGGGTATGGCTCGGAACGGAAAACCCCCGATCCGGAACGGAAAGGGAGACGGCCGTTTCCTGGATCCCCCGCTAACACACCAGAGCCAAAATTCTTTGATCTGGGGTGCTTTTTGCAGTGGAGCCGAAAACATGATTTGATTGACGATAGATATTACTGTATTAAGGGACCCATTGGTGAAACAGTTCATTTTGGTAAATCTATCGACTATCAGAGATTTAATAAAATTAAAAAAAAAGACTCGAAGGCCAAAAGCGCTTAGAAAAGAAAGCACAGTACAATTTTTCAAAAAATTTTCATGCATCTAAAAGGATTCGAAAAAATAAAAAGCAGGACTTTTAAAAGGCAAGATTTTTGAAAAATTCCGTGTTTTAAAAACTTCGATATCGAGTGGGTTAGGGATACAAAATAATTTTTTTTCCTTTTGTGGTAGGCCGAACATTTTTTCGAAAAGCCAAAATTTTTCTAGGTTCGAAGTTTTGCTTATCATTGTTATCATTATTTTTAGAACACGGTATCCCTGGAAAACGAGATGAAACGGCATCACCATGGGCAGATTGAGGTCCTGAAAATGGACATTGAAGGTAGGAATTTTTGATCGTCAATTTTAGCAAATTTTGTGTGAGTATGATGTTTCAAAAAGTTTCACGGCAAAAATGTGCTGATTAGGAACAATTTCTATTTTTTGCTCGCCCCCTTTCTATTTCTATCGGTTTATCAACAGTTTTGAAAAGATGTTTCGAAAATTTTAACTTTACAAATTTATTAAGTAGGAATAGTTTGACGATTCTTGGACGATTATCGCATTACACAATTTAGGGGCCGAATTCCAAGTGTTGCCCCCGCTCGTCGAAAGAATTAGGATTTGTCAGGTTAGGCAATTTTTATTTTAAAGGGCTTGGTAAGGATGAAGACCGTAGATTTTGCCACACCGCGACACGCCGCGCTCGCATTTCTATGGCGTAATAGATTACGTAGGCTTTGGTGCCCTTTATTTCTGTTGGCACTTAGACGACCCACTAGGCTGCGCCACTCGCTTCAGAGTCCCTTTAAAACTGGGTGCTTGTCGTTTATCGGGGGGTATTTCAGCGGATACCAACGACTCGCAAAGGCTAGAAACAATGAAATTAACTGACAAAAAAATTTCGGTGACGAGGAAACGGCAAAGAAGAAACAAAAGACTACGCTTCGGAATTGATATCCTTTTTCATTCCGGACCCACTTATGTCTCCGAAACACTTTTTCCTCGCGAGGAATTGTAGAATTTGGCCGGCGAGGCCGGGGATTAAAAAAGTTTGCCAAAATCAGATTCTAACAACAAACAAAAAATTAAACGAAAAAATAGAAAATTCCGAATTTAACTATGTATTCGGCTTAATTATTTTATTTCTATTTTTTTTTATTTCATCTTGGACTCTAACGTAGTACGGAAATTGCCGCCTCAAGAAAGAGCCGGTTCAAGGATTTTTCATGAAACACTAATTTTCAGCGGCTAGTAAAAGGAAAAATCGCAAAAACTTAAAACTTAGTCTAATAACTTATAAATTTGCATTAACTTGCGTAAATTGACGAAATAATTAAACTAGGAATAAAAGGTTAAAATATGTATAAAACTCCAAGAAAATCGCATAAAAACGGGATTGTCAGGCAAGGTAGTAAATCATAGAAGGCGCAAAGTGAATCCGGCCCAAAAGTGCAACTTATTTTCCGAATTTTTTGAAACACAATAACAAAAAATCCAGTCGGCCAAGAATGCCCTCCTGCATGCAAAGATCCCTGTAATGGGAAATTTGGAGTTATTAAGTATCGACAATACGAATTTCGACATTTTTGCATAGAATTAGGCAAATAAAGAGCTGCAAATTAAATTCCTGAAGGAAACCACCCAAATCCCGACGGACAAAATGTCCATCAAACAGCGCGTAATGTCGGCATTTTGTCTGTCGGGATGCTGAATGTCGGGATTTTGACCGTTATGACCTTCAATTTCGATATTTCGACAGTCGGGATTTTGAATTTCGTGATTTTAACTGTCGCAGTTTTATATGTCCATCATAGCTGTCGGGATTTTAGTTTGAGGCATTTTGACTGTCGGTATTTTGTATGTTGAGATTTATTTTGATTGTCGATATTTTGGATGCTGAGATTTTGACTGTCGGGTATTTTAACTTGGAGTTTCAGAATTTCGGGGTTTTAGCTTTTGCGAATTTGGCTGTCGGTATTTTCACCGTCGGTATTCTTGCTGGAATTCAAATATGATTTCAGATCCTCATCGAACTTCACGGTCTTCCCCCAAAGGTCGTCGGCCTGCTAATGAAGTTGGGCGATGGTGGCTACCGTCTCTTTTCCCATGAATTGACAGGCGCCGGGCTGTCGGCAGAGTATTCTTTTGTACACGAGGATTGTTTACAAAGATATAATGCTCGAAAAATAGGGTATTATCTGGATAGAATCTCCGAAAAATACCGCCAATGAATAAAGCTTGTAAGTACCTTCTTCACGTCAGTTCTAATAATTTAATGAGGATTAATTGTTAACAGTAATTAGATAGCTTTTTAACTGACAAGGTCAAGACGAGACAAGTTTAATTTAATTCCCATCGTAATTCTGCTAAGATTATCGAGTCCAAAGGCGGAATAAGGCTAAAAAATCTCGAAACATTGATTTTCTACTTTCATATATCTTGAGGAATTTTTGGCGAAAAGCTGTTACATAACTTTGTGGTATCAAATTAACTTACTTCGAGCTTATGGTGAAACCGTAGTGGCCCTCTAAATAACATCCAATCCATCCAATCCAATATTTTACCAAACATTTTTTGGAACATTGTTCTTTTAATAATTTTTTAGTCTGTTAAGATAGTTAATGTTTTAAAAACCACTATTTTTTGAAAAATTGATTCGTAATAAGTTTTTTTAGCTCAGGCGTAGAATTTTTTAGTTCAGGTTAAGTAGACGGTAATTTTTAACCTGATTTCCATTTTAGCCAAAGGCCGGTGAAGGCGATCTTTACAAATTTTTATTAAAAAACACGAGTGGTTAAGTTTGTAAATTACTTTTGGTACCGTTTTGCAAAAAATATCATTGGTCAATTTTTAAAAAGCGCTTTGAAATTTTCTTTGCAATTGACCAGAATAGAATGTAAACAACTTGATGTTTTTAAACAACTTGAGGGATTATCGAGTCAAAATGCGAATAGTACTAAAAGATTGAAAAGGCAACATCGAAATTCGGGCTTCTCCATTTTCTGTACAATATTACAAAAAACTGTTTCATGATTATGTGGTGTTCGCGAAATGTTTCCCTAGGCACTTCGCCTTTGGTAGATGCAAAAAATTGATGAAGGAAAGAAAAAGATCGTTGAACATTAATTTAGATTTTTAATGTTTAACACTAAAATACAGCGTGCTAATAAAAAACACCCCTTCTAACTCGCCGCAGAAGTATCCGATCGGAATGATAGTTACACCATTCGAAAGCGCTGGTAACGGCGAGTCTGCAACAATTTTCAAAACTATATTTTTATTGAAACCCGCTATTTTACAAGACATTTAAAAACATTAAAGAACGGCCTCTGCATCTAATTAACGGCTACTCCCCGTCATTTTGTATGGGAAATTTGAGGCCAATTGGCTGGGATACAATCCGGAAAAACCGCAAAATGTTACAAAATGGCTTGTAAAATGGTGGGTTTCAATAAACACATGGTTTTGCAAATTGTTGCAAACTCGCCGTTTAGAGAGCTTTCGAATGGTGCAACAATAATTCCGAACGGATACTACTGCGGCGAGTGAGGGCGGTGTTTTTTTATTGGGACACCCTGTAATAGGAATAATCTGGAACGCTGGAAAGACTAACCAATCCAGAAACGAAATTTTACAGATAGAATGTTGTCAAAAATATATCATGTACTCACCTATTTCATCAATTAAAGTGGGAAAGATGCGCACAAAAAGTCGCGCTTTATTCCTAAAAAGTTGTTTCATCTTTTGGTGTGGATCGTGTTGTTCACCTCCCACCAATGGTCGCCAGCCAACGCCATGGAAAAAAAAAATCGAAAAAATTGGCATTTGGGGCGTTTGTTTATTGTTTTCAAAATTGCATGTATCGATCCAGCTCCGGAGTTAAAGAGATAGCAAAGGCAAGGCTGCTTTCCTGCATTGAGAAAGATCGGTTTCAAAGAAGGAGCAGGACCCAAATCTATTTGCTTGGTTAATTGCGCATCGAGAAACACTTAAAGCTTTTATCGATTAGCATACTCTTATTTTAACAGATAAGATTCAATACAGATGTATTTCTTGAATGAATAAACGTAAAAACGGGAGTATTGAATAAATACCAATAAAAATAATGTTAATAAAAATAGAATAAATTACGTCGTGAATCTGATTTTGAGCTGGACAAGTTAAGTTTCACAATTAAATGAAGAATTAAATATTAAAACGGTGGAGGTCCAGCTTTACATAAATTTGGGGAATATACAATCAGAAAAATGTTCCTTTTCGTGAAAAAATTTGTTTCAGGAATTGGCCAAGACGAGTGATTTATTTTTTAGCCAATTAGGAGCCTTCGTTTGCTGGCAAGTAATGATTTGACATTGTGTTTTGGTAAAACTGCACTTGTAAAAAATTGTAAAATAACTCCCTAAATAAGCGAGAAATTATCGTAAATAATATAAAATATGTATTTCCAGGCTAAATTAAAGTGAAGTTGAAACAATATATAAACTCTAAAAAAAAAATTTTTTTCTATAAAAAATTTTGTTTCATAATTTTTCTAAAACTGACTGTTTGTTTCTCAGTCAATTTCCAATCCGTCGTACATACATCTAAAATCCCTTCCTCTTCGGCAATTTATAGCCAAAATATTCGTAATCGGGGTAGTAGGTGCTCAGCACGTAGTAGAGACTCTTCGGGTTTTGCAGAATCTCCTTTTTCCACTCGTGTTTGTGCGATTTCTTCAGCGGTCGAGTGTGTTTCGTCCCGGAGACACGGGCCAGCGACTGAAAACGTTTTTATCAAAACTTTTATCGGATCTTTATCGATTAAATATATATTTCTACTTAACCCCACTTGTAATAGACATCAAAGCGAAGCCGAAGCAGCCTAAGAATACTTTTAAGGCTGATCACAAGCCTATCAAAAACTTATGCAAAGCATAAGCAAAAACTAAAGCCAAGCTTTAGTCTAAACCTAAGCTAAGCCGACCTAAGCTAAGCCAAGTGTAATTCTAAGCTAAAAGCTTGTAAGCTTGGCTTAAGTACAACCTAAGCGGACCAAAACCCATGCCATACATAAGCCTACCCTAAGCCGGAGACTTAAGCCAAGAACCAAGCATACCTTCAAGCTTGAAAAGCCTAAGCTAAAAATTAAGCTAAGCCTAAGCAAATGCCTAAGCCTAAGCCTAAGCTGAGCAAAACAAAAGCCAAACTAAAGCCAAGCTAAGTACATAATCCTACATCAAGCCCACAAAAATCTCCCTTTACTTAAGCTCGCCGAAGCTTAAATAAAGGTTGAGTTGAAGCTCGAGCTCGCACCTAAGTCGACTCTCAAGCACACGAAAAACCTAAGCGAAGCGCAAGTCGAAACTCATGCCAAGTCTGAGCATCAGCTCATACTCAAGCCCACTCCCTAGTAAGGCTCAGGTTCCAAAAATTCTATCGAAGAAAATGGATGTTTCTCAGATGAAGGGAAAAAATATTGCGCGAAAATCTTTAATACGCTAGCGTCCGCCACTGGTAAAATCAAAAAAATTGTTGCCTTTTGTATGGCCCATTCAGGGATGTGGGCCTCCCGGAAGACGGTCGCCAATTTCTCTGCCATCTTTGAGCCGTTGTCTGGAAGAATCTTTGCTTCTGGGTTTTCTCTCGCTCGCTCTACTCTCTCTCTCTCCTTCTCTCTCTCTCTCTCTCTCTCTCTCTCTCTCTCTCTCTTTCTCTCTTTCTCTCTCTCTCTCTCTCTCTCTCTCTCTCTCCTTCACTCTCTCTCTCTCTCTCTCTCTCCTTCTCTCTCTCTCTCTTTCTTCCTCTCTCTGACTCCTCTCTCTCTCTCCCCTCACCTGTATACTGGATGATGCGTAGCCGCTTTTTATTATATCGAAATCGGGTTGGGATGTATCTGAAAAGAGCATTGCAATCTCACCAGAGTACCGTACTAGAGATCTAAATCCCCAGTTAACCATAAGATTTCGTGAAACCTTTTTGTCCAAATTTCAGACTTTGCCAATTTAGATTACGATACCGCCTTAAATAACATTGAAAATTAAAAGGGCCTTTTAATGATTTAGGCTGGATTGTATAAGATTAATATTGCGTCTTCACCATCCTCTATCAATTTAAATTTATTATTTATTTATTAATTAAATTATAATTTTTTTGATTTGGACGCCTAGAATAGAAACTAGTATTCAGCAGAAAAAGCAAGACGAATAACCACGAATTTAGGAGTTTTGCTTTCAGAATTTTATAAAAAGCGAAATTTGGAAAATCGATGTTTTAAAAAAATTGAAAGAGCCGTGGTTTTGAAAAATTTTAGTAGGTGGACCAATTCTAACTGGCAATTCTGCTTTTTATTTTTTTAATTCTTTAAAAAAGTATAGCTATTCAGACTTCAATATTTTTTGTAAAATAACTAACCGATAGGCTGGCTGTATATGATCATGGATATGTTTTTCGAGCGGAAGTCCCCTTGGCACAATACCACGCCGGACCCAATCATGGACGAGACGTGCAAAATCGTGAATATCGTGCACGGCAGGACCGCATCGACGGAGCCCTTCCTCGCTGAAATTTTTCTTTAAACAAAGTATCATAATTTTGAGCAAAAAATTTTCTAATCTAAATTGTGATTAACGTTACTAAATAAATACGAGGAAAGTAGGTAAATGTTAAAAATATATCGGATTAAGCCTAAACAGAGCGTCGATCAAGAGCTAAGATTGCTAGATAGATGCATTTTTGTTCTTTTTGCGGTACGGTAGTTCAATTAGTTATTTGTTACTATGGATAGATAGATTAGAAGTTGCATACTATTTCTTCCTTATTACCGTTAAAAAACCTCGCTTAAATTGTCACGAAATTAGAGTCGTCAAGAACGATTTTTTGTGAAACATTGGTTTTTTTGGATTTATCTCGCGCAATTTTGTAATTTTAGATGCTTAGAATTTGGTGGTGATTATTTTATTTTTATTGTTAAAGGTACCCATATTTAATATGCGATGATGCTGTTAATCATCGACATTTTTCTTGAACTCATTATCCTTAATTCCGCGTAAAGACCCGTATTCTGGGGCGAAACATACTCTTTTCAAAACCTTTTTACCGGTTTACTAAACTTGTTTAAGATTTTACTACTTTTTAAAAACGTATGTAAAACGGTTAAATTTTTGGCTTCAGACCTCCTTTAAATGAACCTAGTGCACGCGCGAGCGTGTGCGTCGAGGGTTTCGGTGATTCTAAGGAAAGCTCGAAATGCGCAACCGCTTGCCGAGGTTCCGATGGATTTTGCACAAAGAAAGCAGTTCCAACCACTAACCAAATAATAGCAAATTCAACAACAATTTGTACTGAAACATTTTACTTTTACCGAAGTTTTTCAGTTAAAAAAATAATTTTGACGTTATAATTTTTCTTTGTCCTTTCTAGCCTTTATATAATTTTTAGCATTTCGGTGTTTCTCTGTGTATTAATGAGATTAGACAGTTGATACTTAAAGAAAAAAACGTACATGCAAAGCCATCCATACATCGAGACAAATCGATCCATTGGATCTCGGGCAATCACAATCTGAGGTTGTCGATCCACGCTTAGAACCGGCCAGCTAAAAAAAGTGTTTCGATATGGGTAGTGGATTAAGTGGATTCTGATGGTATTAATCCTTGATAATTATCTTCCTTGATCCTTGACATGAAGTTTAAAAATGCCCGCAATACGTCCGAAAATAGTGGTAGTTTAGTTGTTAGTTGTTTTTAGTTACCGTCCCCCAGGCGTAGGCTCTGGGTATCTAATAATCGCAACTAATTAAACTAGTGGTTTTCCAGATTTAGACTATTTTTGCAATGAATATTTTCGGCTGAAACTAAAGCTGATAGAATATTGTTTGATGCCCTATCGGATCACCCTAAAATTCACCAAAAAAAGAATAGCGAAATTGTCAAAAGTATATTGAGCTCTTTTGGCTGGGGGCGGGGGGTGGGGATCAAAAAAAGCGTTTCAATTGCCGCAGACTCTAAAAACTACTTTGGAGCGCTAATATGCCCATTCGCAGTTCCGCCCACATTTTTTTCTATCTACCACCGTACCTTCAAGTAAGAATGTATAAAAAAAGGAATTCACGTTTTTCAGGGACTGGCAAGTGATACTGAAATTTTTTTGGCTATGGATTTTGCGGCGACCGCGAAGCGCAATGCAGTTTTTTAGACATACCAGAAATGCCCAGCAATGTCAGGATAAATATTTGCATAGAGTTATCTGCTAAAATGTAACTATTTTTAAGGTGGAAAACCATCGAAAAATCGTCAAACCGTCCAAAAAGGTTATCACTTTTCATCGATATTTTGATATTTATTGTAGTTAAAAATTTTACATTTTTTACATTTAGGAATGGTAAAAATTAAATTCGAAACGTTTCCTTTATTTTTGTTAAAAATGGGTCATTCGGAGAATTCGATGTTTTCGGATTTATAATTTTTTTGTTGCTTATTTTCCAGAAATTTCTGGGTTTCATTACAATAAGAGGTCAAGCTGCGCAGTTCCTGGATAATAAAACTTCCCTTTAAGCTCTGTCAAAATGGATAAATTTATTTGTTTCCTGCTGAACGAAAGCTCATCAAAAATTTTCGGCTTTTGTCATATTGGCCAGGAAATGAAACACAAGTTTTTCACGTAAAAATAAATCATTTAAATTTTTTTTGGATTTCTTGTTCAACTCACGCCCTCTCGCGTCGCCAATAAAACCAGCCCTTCTCGATGCAGAAACTAAAAATTGTTATATTTATCTAGTTTATAGATCCTGAAACATACTTTTCATTCTTGGTCCCATATTTGAGAGGCGTCTTTCGCCCGTGGTATAATTGCGACAGATCGCAGAGCACCTAATAAAAAGGTGTTTTAAACATTGGATATAAATTTTTGATGAGATTTGATTAATTTAATCATTATATATTTCATTTATATTATTCTTTTATTATTTTTTGATACCAAAAAACGTGCCGATTAACATAATCACAATTTTTGGGTATCCATGAAGGCACGAAACATGATTTTTTATCGTATAAAATTGTATTTCTTAAGTAGCTGGACTACATAGTTTCGACCATATATATTAAATGAATACAAAATAGCTTATTTTTCAAAGCTTTTAGAACCCACCTGCAACATTGTCGTCGACATACTTTTCGGTATTTTTGTGTACCCCACACCGCCGAAAACGACTGGATGCCGCTGAAAATTCACTTCTTGATGTGGGATAAAATGCCTACCCATATACCGTATAGAAAATTGTAAATCGGGAAAACACCGATTAACGAATCTACTATATATCTACTATCCACTATATATAAATTTGTAATGTCCGTGATCCCGACCGACCAGGAATTCAATCCCGCTGCGAACCCCCCAAATATGCCGTAGCTGGGGGCTGAAGCCGGATCCATGTCGTTTCGCCTTTTCCCCCGGGAGACTTTTGCCGCGACAAAAGTGCGCGGCCCGTGCGCAAGCCGGTACCGGCCCGTGCGCTAGCCGCGATACGGGCGCGCCCGTGAGGGAGCCGTGGACTAGCTGTGGAGTAGCCGTGCACCAGCCGCGGTAGGCGCGCGCCCGTGCACTAGCCGCGGAGTTGGCGCGCAGTTGCCGTGCACGGGCCGCGAGAATATTGCGCGGGCCGTGCGGCCGCTGTGCATGGGCCGGTACCGGGCCATGCGCGGCTAGTAATTTGGTAATTTGGTAAAATTAAAAATTTTAACATTAACAACTGGTAATTTAAAATTTTTCGAAGGACAAGAGTACACTGGAGCATCAAAATTGCTATCCATAGAAGAAAACCATGAAACATTTTTCCGACTTTTCTCACTTCCGACAGAAACTCTTCGAAACTGGTTTGAAATCATCTCGTCAAGGTCTGAATCATATCAGCTCCGCTTTTAAAAAATTCGTTCTGTAGAAAAGAAAATGGAAATGTTTTATTAAAATAGTTAAGTAAACCGAATAACTTTTCGAATTAGTGTTTTTTTTTACTTTTCGAATTAGTGTTTTATTCACGGCTTTGCAAACATCCGTGTTCGTCTTCCGGAAAGCATGTTTTACTCAAAAACTATCACCAGCTCGAGTTTTGAACAGTAATAGTTCGTTGAAATAGGCAATCCAAACTTAAAAAATGAAGGATTAAATTAATTAATGCAAATAAAACTAAAATTTTAACATTTTACGACAACAATTGATTGATCTCACCCTTGATTATCGATTTTGCTAATTTAGGAAGATGAGTACAAAAGCTCAATAATTAAACAGGGACCTCACCTTTTTGGTTTTGCCAACGTTACTGGCCATTTTAGTCGAACGGCCGGTAAATAAATGCTAGAATGCGCTTGAAAAGTATGTTTTACTATATTACTGACGCCAGCTAACGTATTAAAACTTAAAATGGTGTAAAAATTGTGTTTCAAATTTAAAAGTACTCATATTAATTCTCGATTTTCCAATTTGGGAGAGCAGGTATCAAAGCTCTATAAATAAATTTTCGCTATACCTTTTTCGATTTTGCCATCACGACGGTCGAGGAATAAAAATAGATAGAAAATAATAGGAGATAGAGTAAGAATCGTGACATCAAAATACGGATATGGACTACGGTAGTCGGGGTGAGTAATAGGAAATCGGGAAGAAAGGGGGATACGGATGGGAATAGCTAGGGGATGGGAAAGGAAGAAGAAGAAGAACGGGGACGATCATCTTAAGATTTGTGGCTTTCGGTAAGGGGGCTTTGGTGGGCGATAGAGCGAGAGAGAGAGCGAGAGAGAGAGAGAGCGAGAGCGAGAGAGAGAGAGAGAGAGAGAGAGAGAGAGAGAGAGAGAGCATAATTGAATGTCCTTCTCCGCCTGGGGCAAGAAAGCACATTCCCCCGGTATGGGCAGCAAAAAATACTTCACCCCGCGAAACCACCCCGACGACAGGTTTGCCAGGTGTTTAAACCCGCTTTTAAGAGAATTAACGGAATTAACAGTTTTATAATATAAATAAAATAATCTAAAGCTTATATACGCGAAATTTTGGATCTATTTATGAAATAACCGGCCCATCATAAAAACATGCCGAGTCTATGTTTCATACATTTAAAAATTTTCATAAACATATATTTTTTGAAACGTACATTCTCAAAAGAATCCTGCGAATTTTAAACAGATTTATTTCCTTAAATTACTTCGACGTGTTTTCCACGCCCATGCCGCTTCGGCATCCGGCACTTTTGAGAGCCCAATAAGCGAATTTTTTTGTTTTAAAGGTGAGCATTCTATGTTTCATTAAAGTTTCCATTACGCTGCTTGTAAACGAATTTATTGATTCGTAGCACTTGTTTCGGATCCTAATTTTCAATTCATTTTCGGTAATCAACAAGCCTAAAAAACACGTTAATATATGAATGTTAGAAAGCATTGTAGAGGGATGGTTAAACTGTATGACAAAAATCCCAGCGACTGGTTTTTAAAAACAGATGTTGCGCAGTATGTTAAGAAACAATGCACTCATTTAAAAACTAGTCTTTCTATGCCGACACGAAAAAAGAATTTGAAATTTTTCAACGTATTGCAACGGAAAAATTGTCAAAATATTGTATCAAGCTTCAGGAATTAATGCTAATATTAAACGACTGGGCTGCAATTTTTACGGATACGAATCAAATATCACTGATATCACCGGTAATTATTTATAGCAGGCGACGTTTGAAACATTTATTCTCAAAAGATTCTTCTGAATTTTATTAAAAAAGTTAATTGATTCAATTCTTCGACGTCTTCCCACGCAGCAGTCGCTTCGGCTTCTCCCCCCGGCAGTTGATGATTGCCGAGTGGACCTGCAAAAATTTAAATGGGACTACTTGTTCATTCTTTGGTCAATTCATAAAAACCGAGCTGCGGATTTTCAACGAATATGCAGTCCCACAATTGATGGACCCAAAATGCACACAATTCTTTTTGCATTTTCCGAAAAAGTGGTTATTTAATTATAGTTAATTTTTACTAAAAATTCTACTAAGCCGATAGCCATTATATCAGGTTGGAAAGAAAGTAATGGCACAAAATCTTTAAACCGCTGTAAAAACCCGCAGGAACGTCCGATTCGAAAGTTTGTTATATGGTTTGGTAGATCTTTGGATGCTCTATCACGAGACAACCTTCAAAACACCCAAAAACTAATGTACGCGAAAATAAAGGCCCCAGAAGTTTCGCAGAAAATTCGGTGAACGCTTCCAAGCGAGATATTTTTGCATACAAGCATTTGCATACGATACTTTTAACACCAATCGATAGCTCTCGAGGAGTAGATATCGATAAATGTTGAGATCATCAAAAACGGACATTGGATGGCCGAGATATGCCCCCTAGAAATTTGGTCCACCTCTTAGAACTTTTCTCGAAATCCCATACATTTAGGCCTGCGCGAGCCAAAAACTGCTGCGTTTGCTTTAGCTCACGAACCAAAATCCAGAAAATGCATTGTTTTTGGAAGGCCCATATCTCGGCCATCCAATGTCCGATTTTGATGATCTCAACATCTATCCATATCTACTCCTCGAGGGCTATCGATTGGTGTTAAAAGTATCGTATGCAAATGCCTGTATGCAGAGATATCTCGCGAGGAAGCTTTCACCTAATTTTTTGCGAAACTTCTGAGGCCTGTATCTTCGCGTCCGTCCGTTTTTTGCGTTTCGAGGGCCGCCACGTGATAGAGCATCCGAAGATCTACCAAACCATATATCAAACTTTCAAATCGGACGTTCCTGCGGGTTTTTACAGCGGTTTAAAGATTTTGTGCCATTACTTTCTTTCCAACCTGATATAAGAGGCATATCTGGCCTAATCCAAAAATTTTGATTCCCTCAAATTTCAGGCACGAAGTGATTGCTCGGAAATCATTTCGACAACGCTTTTCCGCGAAACACTGGATTTTCTCCGGGATTTTTGTGCCCCGTTTTATTCTTGAGTATTTCTACGTGTAAAAAAAAACAAAGGTACTTTAAGGCCTCCAAAAAATAGTACAAAAGATCTCGAATTATGCATGTCAAAAAGGCTGGCGACCCACCTCCGGATTCCGTTTAATCGACTTTCTGGCGAAATCCTCAACTTCTCCACAGGTCGTATTGGCCGGGATTGAAACGCCAAGCTTGGCCGTCATCGCCCCGTTCATATTCACCGGCTGAAACGTGGAAAATCAGTGTAATTTGGACTGTAGTGTAGTTTTACCAGTTGTCAGAAAGCATAAATTCTCAGCGCTAAGATCCATTCACGATTTTGTTTAACATGCTAAAATTTCGCTGTTTCTGAAAAGAAGTGGCAAGGAGTATATTTCAGTGTTTCAATCGAAATACAAAAAAGTGCATTAAAATATGTATTATTATTGAACATAAATCTTTTTTAATGAACCGGTAATCAGTCGAAAAAGTTTGCAAAAAAACTGTTTCAACTCGGCGTAATTCCCCCGCGTAATAATTTTGACCCAATTAGAGATGGCAGCCCCTCCAAAAAATTGCCAACCTCAACACTCTCCAGTTTCAGCTTGCCTTGATCCATCGGCTTCGTTAACTAAAATCGATTTTGTTGGTTCAGATTATTTTTTTCCTTGTGTAATTTAGTTTAATTCACAAGAAATACATTAATTTCATTTTAAAAAATTTAATATAACAAAAATAAAAAAATGTCATCCCTATTTAACTTGATTTAATTTTTGACTCGGTATGTTTCGGACCTCTTTCTTAACCGCATCCACAAATGGTCCGCTATTCGCCGCGTCGTACGGCATCGTCGTCCGCAGCAACACGAATACCTGAAAATTCTGTGTTTCTAATTTCAGGGTGTTTGCGCGTTATTCAATTTTTTTAGTTTGCTCATTGGTCACGTCGAACTTTACTTTTTAAATATCTAAATAGAAATTTAATAGATCTTAATGATCAACAACCAATCTTCCAAAAATGTCTAATTGCTATTTCTGGCGATATGTTCCGATATGGGCACTCTAGACAGAATATGATATTTCCCGCCAAAACAAATTTTTTTAATGAATTAAATATGATTTATGTATGTAAGATTGGTTAGCTGAATTTGACCAAAGATTACTTGAAGAATTTTGTTTTGCAAAAATCAGGGTCTGATGTTTCAAAATCGTTTGATTTACTTTCTATGAGAAGAAAGCCAATGTCTGGAGGAATTTATGTCAAAAATTTTACAAAAATGCCGTGATAATTCGCAAAATACAGTTAGTTGTTAATTGAATTTTTAACCCACCCGACTGCCTTTTTCCGGAGCTACCGTGCGCCCGGTTGGGCTGGCTACGGTAGTGGAGAGCCCGGCGATAGTCAGCAGCAAAATCAGCTTCATTTTTTGATAATTTCTAAAGTCTTAAATTTAAAATTTAAATTAATTTAAACAGGCAGACTTTAATAGAAAAAAAACGGAAAACGAAGGCAAAATATAAACGGCAACGCCATGGCACAAGCATACATTCGACAAAGGATCCTCCTGGCAATTTTCTGAAACTCGAAATTTTAACGGGATTTGGAATTGTAAAAGAAAAGGCGACGGTTTTTCGGAAAAATAACATTAACGAAACATAATATATGGGAATATATGGTATAAATGCCATAAATATAAGTTTCAACTAGGTCAGAATATTAAGTGTTTTAAAATAAATATATATCGACATTCCTGAAATTCAAAATTTTCACGGAATTTGAGAAGTACAGCGTCCTGTAAGGAATTTCACGCTTTTAAAAATTAATGAAACATATAAGTACAGCAATTTTTTGAGATGGATTTTCGAAGCTACATACCAATCCTGCAGACAGCTACGTCGTTTTCCGCCGGTTTTATACGATGCCCAGTGCGTCTAAAGTACATATCGTAAATACGGGCGCTTCAGCCGACGCGTTTGTCCTATTGACGTTTCACCGATTTTTCTTTGTAGACGGCTGCGCGTTTTTTCGAATACAAATACGACGGAAATAGGAAGAAAAATGGTGTTTTTTGGAGGTACAAAAAAAATGTTACACCGAAATTGGTGAAGCCGCGAAAGTTTGGCTCGTTAATATGACGACCTCCAAATAAGCGGATATCATTTCTTCTTAGGGGTTCTTTGTTTAAATATTGTTTGCCTATGCGGTTCTTTCGCATTAAAGGGGGGAGCAACTATTTTGTGGCATCTTAATAAAATATAACCACATTTCAACTCGAAAAACTATCTAAAAAATTTTGGGAAATCTGAATTTTGCCCAAAATTCGTCCATTTTTGGTCGGAAAATACCAAAAAATGAAAACATAGAACAGAATACAATAAAAATAAATATAAAATACAATAAATCAATACCAAAAGTGAAAATATATGTGTTTTTCATAACAAGCCAAGGATTGGTAAAATTTAAACCCAACAAACAAGGTGACCGAGTAAAGTTGACAATAAAAATGTTTTGAAACAAGCCGAGTGCAAGCAAGCTTTTCCTAGGCTATTCAGGTTGTGGAATTACAGTTATAAATTTCGCATCCTAGGCCAGGGATT